CCCCCCCCGGCCCGCCCCGGGGAAAGCCCCCCCCGGGGGGCCGCCCCCGCCGCCCGGCCCCGCTCCGGGCTCGGCTCTCGCCAGCGCCTGGCACCGCCGCCGCCCGGGCTCCGGCGGCACGAAAACCGCGCACCCCTGCCAGGCCCGAGCCGCCCGGGGTTCGCAGCCTTGTCCGCTTCCCGCTAGCAGGAGGTCTCCTGCATGGAGAACACCACCACAAGGAATTCCTGTTCGGCTGAACTGCCGGTTTCTGTTCAACACTCACGGGGCTGGCGAGATCCCTCCCTCCCTCTACCCCTCCTTTCGCTCGGTCACTTGTTTAAAAATAAACTTAGGAGCCATCTTTATAATTTAGTTTACTTCCGAATATTTTAAATATTATGAAAAAAAGCCATAAACAACGCTGTTATTCAAAACATTTTGAGGTATAAAACATAAAAAGATTTGGGTTTTCTTTTTTTCCTTTTTCTTTTTTTTTTTTGTTTTGTAAAAAACACACACAGTGGTTTATTGAGTACTTACAACGTTTACACCTTCAATATTAATTAGATTCCACTTTTTCCCTTACGGACGGAAGTGCACATAACCGATAACTGTTGAAAACATCTTCAAATACTGAACGACCACAACAAAATTACAACACTAAATACCGAGTCAACCGAAACATTGGTGCAACTGCTTCTGTTGAAATATAACTTTATAATCCCATGAATATTTATATCCAAAAGGCCAAGTATTAAAGATACACTTCACATACACACTAATGCCAGGGAGGGATTTTTTTTCTTTTTTTTTTTTTTTCCCTTTTCTATGGTTCTGTTTTCCCCGTGTGTTTTATACAGAGCAAGTAACATTCACGAAACTATTAGAGACATTACCCCTTACCAAGCTGGAGTTTCCTCTTCATATATGGAATGCTTTTTCCCTCTCCTTCAAATATCCACATTTTGGGGGGGGTGGGGGAAGAAATTGCACATAAATAAACCGGACGATTCCAAATACAAAGAGTCCTCAGAGGAGAGCTCACTACCGAGACTGAGAGGACGGCTCCTCCAGTCCTGCCGTGCTCACTGCTTGAGCTCCAAAGCCCAGACATGCTGCGGCCAGCCAGTCCTCCCTTTGGTTTTCTTATCGTTGCTGCTAACTGTGCTTTTCAAGATTTCGTTCTGGGGAGACAGGATGCGACGGAAGAGAAAGAGAGAGAGAGAGAAAAGGAAGGGGGAGAGGAGAAAAAAAGGTTAGAGATATTCCTCCCCGTTCCAGGCCGCCTCTGCCCTGCCCCGAGAGGGAAACCTACGAGGAGACACGGGCTCCCGGCGAGGCCTGCCGGGACAAAGCGGGCCGGCCTCCGCGGGGTCTCGCCGCGGACGAAGCCTCCGCCGTCCCCGGCGGAGGCCGAGCCCCGCTCCGCGCCAGCGCGGCCGCCTTGCCGGGGCCGGACCCCGGCGCTCAGAGGCACGGGGAGCGGGGCTGGGGGCTGAGCGGCGCCAACCCTCTGCGGGGAGATGGGCATTACGGTAAGGGCCGCGCTAAAGCATCCCCTCCCGGGCTCCACAGGCGCGTACCGGGGCAAAACATCGGGCCTGCGGCCACCGAAATCTGCGAGAGTATCTACGGCCCGGGCGTGCCGCGGGGCCTACGCGAAGCGGGGCTTGCGCCGCCTCGTCAAAGCCGAGCCTCCCCCCCGTTAAAAGCGGGAAGAGCTCCAGCGCAGAGCGCCCGGGCAGGGCAGGGCAGCCCCGCGCTGCGAACCTCGGGCTTGCGAGGGTTTACAGCCGGGCTGGGCTTAGCAGGTAGTCGCGCCTCTAGCCTTTTATTTAAGCGAGCGGAGGCTTGTCTCCGGCGGGATCGCGGTCTGGGATCCGGGACAAGCCGTAGCCCGGGCACGGCCCCCTCCGGGGGTCCCTGGGGCGGCGGCGTTTCCCCCGCCGCTGCCCGCGGCCGCCGGGCCGCAGCCGGGCGCTCTGCGAGAGCCT